CCGAGAGGTTAGTTTCCGCGATGCCACTACTCTTGTTGTCACAGTCGCTCTCCACCGTTACCAACAAACTGGCTCGCGGCGGCAGTGCGATGGTGTCGTCAGCAATTCGAAGTGTTGTGGTCGGCGCAACTGCATCCTTTCGTAGGGCTGTATGGTCGTTAGATAACGTTATGAGCAGGTCGCGAAGGTTAATAATGGCTCCATGCTCGCGGAGAAAATCCATTCCGAGAATCAGGTTTTGGGAGCATTCGCGCAATACAACGAAGGAAACAATGTACGTCGACTCACGAATTCGGAGGCGGGCAGTGCACATTCCTAGCGGTGTCAATAGGTGACCTCCCGCAGTCCGGAGGTTGGTTCCATGTCCCCAAAGTGTCGTTACCTTTCTTAGCTGTGCAGCGAGGTCAGCGCTTATAACAGAATAATCGGCACCACTATCTACCAGAGCGGTCAGCGGGTGGTTGTCGAGAAGAACAGAGATACGAGCAGAGACCTGTTTGTCGTCGATGGCACACGTCGGTGAAAGAATGTCGTCGGATGTCGGCAGGCAAATCGGGGGAGGGTCTTTTAACGGTCGATCAACAGCGACCTCACCCCCAGAGGTCGCTGTTCTTAGTTTCCCCGGCGCGGGCTTGTGGATCTAGGTGATCTTCCTGCAAGGACGTCCGCAAAGGTTGATTGTTGGCCAGGTGACGTGGAACGCCGTGGAGATGGTGAGCGGGATTGGCGACGCGGAAGGTTTGAGGATCGTTGGCTTGCCAAGTATTCGGCGATAGCACGGGGCCGCTCACCATCTCTGGGTCGTCGAGCATCCGGACGAAAGCCGGGACGACCCATGTGCCTGTAGGCGCACTCACGGTAGATGTGACCTGGTTCACCACAGTGATAACATAGAGGCCGGTTGTCGGGAGCACGCCATACACTGGATTTCCGTGTAAGGGGTGGGTTGCTGTACTGCGGTGGTCCAGAGTAGAACGACGGTGCCGTCTGCAGGGTGGACGGACGGGACGGATAGCCAACAGCCGGTGCATGAGTACGCAGTGCTTCCGGGTACATTAATAGCGGAGCTTCGGCTGGACGCGGGGCCGGCATGGGTTGGACTTCGGCTGCACGCAGAGTCGTCATGGGGTGCACCAGCTGCCGGACCTCTTCGCGAACGACATCCGTTAAAGCAGCAACATGGGGCGGAGAAGACACCACGTGCAGCTTTTGCAGCTCCTCGCGCACAATACTGCGCACGAGCTCCGTCAGGTCTTTTACAGTCGTGACGTCAGGTGTTTGTAGAGCCGACGACACTGACGAAAGACTGCAAGGACGTTCATACTGGTACGAACGCTGCCTTAACATTCTTTCCATTGTCGTGGCTTCGCGAAGGAAATCCTCTACAGTACCGGAAGGGTTCCGCACTAGTCCCGCGAACAGCTGCTCCTTCACTCCCCGCATTAGGAGGCGCACCTTCTTTTCTTCCGTTATTGAAGAGTCGGCTCGCATGAACAGCCGCGTCATGTCCTCAACGAACATGTCAACACTCTCGTTCGGACGCTGGTTTCGGGAATTGAGGAGCCGTTCCGCTTGCTCCTTTCGGTCAGAGCTTCGGAAAGTATTTCGCAACTGGTTGCAAAACTCTGGCCAGGTTGTCATAGTGGCTTCATGGTTTTCGAACCAAGTGCGTGCAGAGTCCTCGAGATAAAAGTAGACGTACCGAAGCTTTCGCTGCTCGTTCCACTCGTTGACGCTGCCGCAACGGTTGTAGTCGTCGAGCCAGTCGTCGACGTCCTCATAAGGGTCACCGTGGAACGGCTTCGGAGTACGCGGGACGTTGAAGAACCATGGAGGAGGCAGCGTTGATGTTTCTTGGGTTTGCGTTCCCGCACTAGCCATAGTACTGCCGAGTTGAGGAAATGGTCCGAATTCAGGAGGTAGGCCTAGTTGTCGCCTGCTACGCCGTAGGTCAGCTGGTTCTTCCAAGTCGCGGCTAGTGTCGGGACCTTGCTGCTGATTGCAGTGCATACAACACTACCCAGCACCTCCACCAGAAAATGTCACGTGATCACAGAACGACCACAACGTCTGTTCACAGGAGCAGCACTGGACGTCGAGCCGAACCGAACGTTAGAGCTTGAGCACACACCAACCGTCCTCTTCTTCTTTCACACCATGGCACATACTCGCATTGGCATGGCTAAACCTCGTTCCATGCCTGTGGCAATATGATTATGAGACAAGCCGTAGTGGAGGGCTCCAGAAATTTAGACAATCTGGGGTTCTTTACTGTGCACCCAAATCTGAGTACACGGGCCTACAACATTTCGCCCTCCATCGGAAATGCAGCCGCCGCAGCTGAGATTCAATCCCGCCAGCTGCGGGTCAGCAGCCGAGTACCTAAGCCACTAGACTACTGCGGCGGGGCTATGCGTGTTAGTAATTTTAAATATTAGGTAATTAGTAAAATATGTAAGCTGTGGGTTAATCTGCCCTGATGTGGCTGGGTACCCGATGACTCTCTTATCCACAGGAACGAAGACGATGCTAATGACGGAAAAGACTTACCTAAGAGAGAAAGATAAGAAGTTTGCGGCCATTCCTTACGTACGTGGCATATCGCCCAAATTGAGAAAGATAGGCAACAAAAGTGGGATGCATGGTCTTTTTGCAGTTCCTGACCACTTGTCGAGCGTTTACAATCCACTCAATCAGGTAGCTGGTACGAATGTGGGCTGCGCCACAAATCATCGCGATCAGTTCATGCCATGTACTGAAGTAATCGTTTATTCTGTTCCCCTGTCTTGCGGAAGCTCCTACGTCGGCCAAACGGGCCGACGCCTTAGTAAAAGATTGTGAGAGCATAAGTACGATGTGACCGTGCGATTTTCTGGTCAACCGGGCGTCCACTGTCGAAATTGTGAATGGTTGTCTCAATTCAACAGCACGGGGGTACTACGCAGGCCTGGTAAAAAATTGACTCGAGAAATCGTAGAAGCCCCAAACATTGGGAACGTACACAACAGTTACATCAGTATCCCATCCATGACCCTTATAAATAAAGAGCTAGCCTACCTGTCGGGAGCTAGATAATCGCGGTTCCTCTTCGTAAACTGCTTTGGGTGTTCATCTATCAAGCCTTGCTCCTTTTTTAGGCTTTTTCGTTGTTGTTGATACGTGCTATTTATCATAGCGTACAAACAAGAAAGCTTCAGATGTTAGTCAGCGCCTGTGTGTTGTGTTTCTTCGATTCATCCTCATCAAGTGCGCGTTGTTTTTGCCTCGGTATGAACAATCAGCTATAGCTCGAAACGTGACAGACACAATCGGTCTTTCCAATCAATCGTTGCTCCAATCAGTTCAGTGATTAAAAACCTATTCGGGTGCTTGTCCTGCGGTGCGTACAAGTCAGATGCATGCCTCGACGGTGGCATTTGTCATGGCGGAACTGCTACCGATTTAGGGCACCACCTGCATTTTCTTTTACGACCAAGGTCTGCGGACAGCTGCAGATGCCGGAAATTGTGAGAGAAAGCCGCAATAGCAGGCGGCTTTGATGAAATATTCGGGCTAACTTGTTTCCATGGAAGGTTCATATATGTTGAACGAGGTTGTGGGATAACATAAACGAAATGCGGAAATTTTGATGTTTTATAGGACGCGACTTGCCGAAGGGGCGTTAAAGTAAGCGCCATACACCTGAAATGTGTTTTGTGAGCTATGCTGCTCGCACGTGTGCGTATTTATGTTCAAAGTTTAAAACAAGAGGATCACAGACACGAGAACGTGTAATAAAGCCGTGAGAAGCAGTGCCTTACGCACAAGAATTTATTACACAAAAATAACATAATACAACATCAAATATAACCTTCTTCATCACCGTCAACGCGCTATGTATAACTAAGTACATTACAAAACTACAAGCCTTGAAATCAGCAAAATATTACATACACACACGCCTACAAACCGACAGCCACGGCAGCACACAAGCATCCCTCAGCAGTCTGGTTGTTTCCGGCTTCGTTGGTGAGCGCACTAACAATGGAAAATTTGAGTAAATGTGGGATCATCAGAGGCAACCAGCCACATCGACATTGACTTACTAAACACACACACACACACAAGTGCGCACAGACACGCACGCATGACGCGTGAGCGGTTGTAATTTACTCTTACGATGATGCTATGACGATCGTGCGTTGGCAATTAAGTATGTTTCTCGAATTATTAGAAGCGAAACTCCTGAGGCCCACACTCCGCCACCACCGTCGAAGCTCCATGGGCTAGGCAATAGCGCCGAGGAATAGTATAACAGGTGCGCTCTCACTGCAGCGCAACGGGAGCGCAGGCTCGGTGGAAGATGGCTCACGCTGCGCTGTGCGCACCGCACACTCACTCCTCCACCGAACACAGCAGACGCTCTCCCCACCCGCTCCCCACTCTCGCCTTGATTAAAGCCAGCAGCGAGATAAGTCACATCATATGCAGAGTGCCATGCCCCTCCGGACTGCATCATAAAAGACACAGCCCCCCCACCCCCCTTCCTGGCGCTGGCCCGGGCTATACTTTCTAAGAGCTCGGCTAATGCTCTCATTCACCGCATCTCATCCAATTCTCATTCAATGCTCTCATCTCATCTTGCGGTCATTTCACTTGGAGTCTGTTTATGCCCGTTCCTGTTCCTTTCAGGCTTTTGATACACAGGTCATGAGGCAGCGACAAGTCTGGCGCCGTGGTCACATCAAGAAAGAAGTCACAGGATGACGAAAATGACGGCGTTGTCGTTGGGACAGCTCTTAAGCAAAAGTATATATATATATATATATATATATATATATTCCCTGACGAAGGCCGTGCCACGGCTGAAACGTTGGCATAAAAGTATTGCTCTTTCGTACGTGTACTCGCTTGTGTTCTTTATACGTACCAGACCCCTTGAACTTCCTGCTGAATATATATATATATATATATATATATATATATATATATATATATATATATATATAGATGTACGGAGAGAGAAAGATGTGGGAGAGCAAGTCGGCCGCACCACCCCGAATATCAAAACTTTCCTTCTATGAGTAGCATTGTTGTATGCATCCCATTTCTAAGGAGCTTCGCTCAGCGGTTCTATTCGTACAAGGAACATCTGCTAGTTTTTTTAGACAAAGAGTATAACAGCCTCTGGCGATGCGGCAGAATATTTGCTTCCTGCAGCACGATTTCTCTGCTAGGACCCATCCTGCGTCCTTTCGCGCTGCCACGCTAAGGCACTTAGGCGGTCGCTGGATCGGCAATGGCTGCAAGCGCAAACTTGGTGCGACAAAACGACTGCCCGTGCCTCTCCCCTGCTTCGTGTCTGCGGACCGAACATTGCGAGGAAAATGAAAAGTTTTCTGAAGAAGGCCCCACTAGCAAATCATCAATCCTCCTAGTGACGGCGAGATGGCCCACGTAGGACCAGCCGCAGATCAATTACTCAATGTCATACTCGACCACCATTGCGGGCACTTCAGTGTGCAGGTCCTTGTAAATGGTCTGTTCTGTTGGATACCCTGTCGACACGATCAGCTGAAAGCCTCCAGTATTCCAGGTGCCTCACGAATTCCACGTGGCAACCATCCCAGTTCCGCATTGCGAGGTTCTTCTTCAGTGGTTTTATGAACCCTTGAAGGAGGCTATTGCCGAGTTTATACTGTAACGAAAGAAAAAAAAACAGATGCAGGAAATGAAGAAGAAAAGCTTGTTCAGGAATGCCGGCGCCTTATATATACGCATGCATTTTTGCTTTTCTTAAGTGCGAAGCATTTCTTATCTATCTATCTATCTATCTATCTATCTATCTATCTATCTATCTATCTATCTATCTATCTATCTATCTATATATCTATCTATCTGTCTATCCTGTCTGTCTGTCTGTCTGTCTGACCGTCCGTCCGTCCGTCCGTCCGTCCGTCAGTACAGCTGGGCGCACTTGTCGCGTACATCGTAAGACAATTCCCTTCAGTCACACGTAGCACGCACTCGTACATTACGGGCCAAAGGATGGGCGTACGAGGCGCAGTTGATTCGTCCTTTTAATCAGACAAGGTATGTGGAAAATACTTTTAAACATCGTTGCGCAATAGCGTTGTGGCGTTACTGTTGCAGGAATTGCGGGGCAGGGGTCCGCAGTGTTGTCGGTGAGGGAAATATCTGAGGGTTGGAAGGATTTAAAATCACGGTTACAGTCACAATGAAATTCTGTGTGGCAACCAAGTACTCATGCACGGACGCATGCGACGCAAGTGACTGAAACGGCTTACGAAATAAACTCTATGATAGCGTCATATAGTGGCCACGTCAACTGGCAGTGTTCGCTATCGGTGTTTATAACAATGTAAGAAGCATTGTGTGTTAACTTTTATGACTTAATCGCCGGGTTACGGTCTATCATTGCTAACCAGGAGGAATTCGCCAAAACCGCTTATGATGCGTTCACCGTCGTACTGCATATCGTGTGGTCCTTTTTCTATAAAACTTGCACCTGTGTTCCAAGACGAGTACTGAATTCGCGTCACATCGCAGCATGACCATTAGGCATTAGGGTAGTCTAACTGTAAAACCAAGTCATGATTTGACATGCGACGCGTGGAGGAAGAGGCACTAGCCCGTCAGTCAGGTACGATGTGCGAACTTCCTAAAGTCTTGTTTTGTGTTTGTCGTTGCGTCAATTACTAAACAAAAAGGGGTGGGTCAAATATGGTTACCATACTTCTTACACACTTTACTGGGAAATTAAGACTGAGCCAGTCACTGCCTATGCAGTGCTCATGTCACATTGCCTTTGCCCCTCAGGATTTCATGCTGACTCATGCTATCGCAATACAAATCTGTAATTGTAATCCCCAACAAGGCAACAATCAAACTATTGCATTTTTAACTGTTTCCTGATCGAGGACGGGTATGACGTATTGGAGTTTGCACGCTATGTTTAACAGCATCAGGTAGCTTTGGCCAGTAGTACTTATACTAGAGCCGTATCTCACTCCCCCGTGGCGTGCCTCCCCACTTAGACCTAATTTACATTGTAGCGCATTGTAGCACATAAAATGACACCACAGACACATAGAACGACACACTACAAGCGCTTCTTTGTGTCCATCGAGTCGTTTTTTGCTCTAAATTATAAATTTGATACGGCACCAACTATGGCCCAGGAACAAGTCCCTGCTTAGCTTCCATCGCACTCGTATAGGCACGAGAGAAGAAAGAAAGCAATAGAGGAGTTGCTAAAGAAAAATTTTTTGTAGTGCCATCTGAGCCGAAAACAGTCAACTGCCTCCATTGTGCACGAGCAGTGCCGCTGATTTTGCATAAATGCATACCGCCTGGATAGCACAAAGTGCTCACATTGAAACGAAACGTCCATCTCGCTTTTACACCCCCCTCACTCACTCTAACGCCGCGTTCTTGCGTGTTCTTATTTACGTTTTCATGCACAATATTGCCTAAACCCACTGTTGCTTGATCATTTTGGGACGTTGTTACAATATTACTGGTATTTATGCAACTACAGTTTCCGCGCGTACTTGATCAAATTCGTTCTACAGCGAAAACTGTTATGAGATCACAACTCAGGTCTCGCGCAGCGCCGTAGTTGTCCGCCGCTGCCGCCAGTGTCTGTAACCACATCGCGTGAAATTACAAAAAAAATCGGCACATCCCACGTACCTCGGAATGGACGTTATGCGAAGCATGCGAAGGGAAGGTGACCATGTTGCAATTTTTTTATTGAGCAAGACGTCATGAAATGGCGCTAATTAAGTGTACAAATGTTGCACGCACAGACATATGCTGAAGAGTTGCAGATGTTTATATAACCAGTTGTTTGCACTTGTGCAACAATGCCAGCTAGAATATGCCTTATAGCAACACCAGAAGCTTATATTGATCGCAGATGCTCACGAAGATGCTGGTCCTGGACACTGCTACACAAATACACTGCAGCGCATGGCACCTAACCGCAATTGACGTTAACTCAACGTGACGGCTGTACCAAAGGAGTACATATGTAATGTTTATAAACTTGGGTTGGCCACACTGCAACCACTAGTGACGTTTTGCGAAGATTAGCGTCTATTTGAAAAGTAGTTCCGAGACCTGGCGTAGCTCTGTGGTAAAATGCTCGACTGCCACGCAGAATGCTTGGGTTCGATTCCTGTTGGGACCCTGAAATTTATTGATTGCATTCGTCGGAGGGTTAACGCTGCCTATGTGAAGTTTTTCTTGACACTGACATTTATTCTATGCCTTTGTTGGGACGACGCCACCGATGTCGGGTATTGTTTAATGCTCACGTGCCAAAATTACCCACGTGTGTTCTCGTCGTTCCTGGGTAGATAGTAAGTGTCAATCACCTGCAGCACATACCCGCACACCAGCAGCACATACCCACCCATGGGCAAGTGCCACTGTCTGGCGAGAAGCGTTTGACGACGTACGCGACGGGATCGCATCATATTCGTCAAACCATCTTACCCTCCCATGCTAATTTTGGTTCACACCCAGTTAAGGAGGTGACCACGAGAGCACCCAAACGTAAGCGGCTAGATAGGTATATTGTGAGCGCGACAAGCGAATGACTCTTTATTCTCTTTGATATCATCATCACCTGTACATCTTCTTCATCTGAAAATATCATCACCAGCGTGATTTAGCTCGAGCCTGGCTGAATAAACCAGTTCCTCACAAGCCTCGGTCGCTGGGCGCTTCGCTTGCAGGAGTATGATTTCGATGTCGCCTACAGATCTGGGAAGAAGCATCAAGATGCTGATGCTCTATCGCGCTGTCCTTTGCCCAGCGGAAGCCACTCACAATCGATACTCCAAAACGACAGCACCTCTCCAATCGCAGCGCTAAGTTCATCACCTGCCACCCTATCCGTCCTTGTTTCACAACAACGTGTCGACCCATACTGCCGCACCATTGTTGACCGCTTGACCGGCTCTACTACTCCTCCAAACGCCAGACGCCGTCGACAACTTAAACAAATTAAGCTTGTCGGTGATGCTTTATGCCGCTACATTTACCACATCGATGACAACAAGTGGGTACCCGTCATCCCACGTTCTCTGCAACGTGAAGTTCTGGAAGCCTTTCATGATGATCCAACCGCCGCTCATCTAGGCTATCACAAGACTTACGACAAAATACGAAGTCGTTGTTTTTGGCCTGGCCTCTCTTCAGCCGTAGCTAAGTACGTCACCTCCTGTGTCCATTGCCAGCGGCGAAAACGACCTACAACTGCTCCGGCTGGCTTAATGCAACCTCTTCCTTGTCCCGCCTCGCCTTTTGAAGTCGTTGGAATCGACTTGTATGGCCCTCTTCCTATATCATCCAATGGGAATCGCTGGATTGTCACAACCGTCGACCACCTTACCTGCTACGCCGAAACAGCTTCTATACCATGTGGAACTGCCACTGAGACCGCCGATTTCTTTCTTCGCCACATCTTTTTGCGTCATGGAGCTCCACGCATTCTCCTGAGTGATGGTGGCAAAATCTTCCTATCTTTCATTGTCGAGCAAGTTTTGCGTGCCTCGAACACTGTTCACAAGACCACTTCTAGCTACCACCCGCAGACCAACGGATTGACTGAACGGTTTCATCGGACCCTATCGGACATGATCGCCATGTACATTCACCCCAACCACACGAAATGGGATGCAATTCTACCCTTCGTGACATTCGCCTATAATACGGCTGCTCAACGCACTACCGGCTTTTCTCCATTCTTTCTCGTCCATGGTTGCTCGCCGAGTTTCGCTCTGGATGTCTCTTTCCTTTCGGCCCCTGCACCCTCGACGGCACCTTTCTCTGAAGAATTCCTATCTCGTCTCGCACACTGTCGTCACCAGGCCCGTGTCAACACCGGCCTCTCTCAAGACACTCGAAAATCTCGCTACGACTCGTCTCGCCGTGTTGTGAGTTTTTCCCCTGGTGACGAAGTTCTTCTAAGGACTCCACTACACGTCCCCGGCCTATGCGACAAATTCATCAGTCGCTTCATTGGGCCGTACACGGTGGTCGAACAGACATCTCCTGTCAATTACCGCGTTTCTCCTCTTAGCGCTAGTCCTGATCACCGTTGCCGAAGAACAGAGATAGTGCACGCATCTCGTTTAAAGCCTTATGCGCGGCGCATTTCATATAATAGTGTCAAGCGACCAGTCGGCCGCTTTCACAGCGCGGGGGAACTAGTGTGAGCGCGATAAGCGAATGACTCTTTATTCTCTTTGATATCATCATCACCTGTACATCTTCTTCATCTGAAAATATCATCACCAGCGTGATTTAGCTCGAGCCTGGCTGAATAAACCGGTTCCTCACAATATAGATAAATAGATACGCTCAAGGTCGCCGAAGTTCGCTAAGAAATGCTTTGCATTTAAAAAACAGTACCAATGACACAATGGGGCTCGAACCCTGGTTCATTGGGTGCTTGCCCAGTATTCTACAACGGAGCTACGCCGGTGCTCGGGACATTTGGCAAACTTGAGGCAGGCTTGATGTCTGGAAAGCAATCGCGTTAATCGACTTTCAAAACGTCTTAAAACAGTGAAAGAACAAGCAGTCATCGCACAATGCGAATAGCGTAACGACTAGGTCGTCCAATGCTCGAACCCATAACAAAAGCTCGTTTTTGTGCAGCTAATAACTGAGGCGCATAAACACTTCAGGCATAATTCTTCGTCATCGTCAGCCACTGCATGAACAATTGGCACAAAATTCCTCGCAATAGTTTAGCGGATACCACGCTTGTCAGAAGAATGACGAAAAATAGCATAGCGAATGCCGGCCTACTACCCTAAAAAATTTGTTATTAATGCTGTAGTGGGCCTCAAGCTAGTGTGCTTGCAGCAGTTGCTCAACGAGTGCTTAGAAGAGGCCATGAAAGGCCGCTCTTCTAGCTTTCGCTGTGACTGTGCTGCACCTTGCGCACTGGTCTGTCGTTTTCTTTTAAATTACGTGGTTGATTCATTAGGCAATTAACTCCTTTGTAAAACACTCGGTGGTTACTTAAAAAAGCACAGCAGGGACCTTTTAAAAGCAGAATCACGGATACAATTGCATATATACTAAAATACGCATCATCTATCTGGTCACCTCACCAAGCCTATCTCATCGACTCACTAGAATGTGCGCGAAACCGCACTGCACGTTTTATTGCACGTGACTACAATCGCTATTCCAGTGTGACTAACATGAAGGCTTCGTTATCACTACCATCCCTGGAATTGCGCGGGAAGACAGCTACTCTACGTTTATTCCATAAAGTCATCTACAGCACGCACGTAAATACATTGCCACAAACAAAGCCCCATCGCACATCTCGCAGGCTACATATTCAGCATAGTTTTGCTCATCATTTCGCCCGCACCTAAGAATCTAACGCATCCGCGCATGCACGTGCCACATAGTTCAATGAAATAACCTTCCCGATGATGTGGTATGCATTCGTGATAACGTGGCGTTTAGGAATAAAATACTAACTACATATGACTGTGTTTCCTTAGCATGTACTTTACACTCGTGTTCATTCATTGTACATTGATATCTCGAACCGTTCAACTAATGTACTCGGCTGCTGACCCGCAGGTCGCCGGATCGAATCCCGGCTGTGCCGGCTGCATTTCCGATAGAGGGAAATGCTGTAGGCCCGTGTACTCAGATTTGGGTGCACGTTAAAGAACCGCAGGTGGTCGAAATTTCCGGAGCCCTCCACTGCGGCGTCTGTAATAATCATATGGTGATTTTGGGACGTTAAATCCCATGTATCAATCGAACCGTTCAAAAATGTATAACGCATATTAGTGTCATATTACTACAGTGTATGTTATAGAACATTTTAGCAATTGTATATTACGTGGCTTTGAATTCTTTTCGTTTGTTTTCTGTTCTTTTCAAATAACTATTGTATAGTCCCCCTAACATATTGTTCCTACTTAGAGCCTGTGAGGTATTTGTAAATAAATAAATCAAATAAAGTGCAGTACAGCGCGGTATACACCAAAACTCCTTTAGGTCTCATTTTTATGCTGACTAGCATTCTACGGTGATAAATCTGGAAGCTCACCTGCCTCATGGAATTGTGTAGAGCCATAAATGCCGGGTTCCGATGCATGAAATCATCGTATGCACCGTGGACTACGGCCACTGGCCCGTCCGTACATAACGCACTTTTGTAGCAGTGCTCGGGGCGGTAGTTCCAGCGGCATGTGAAGGTGAAGATGCCCTCGGGATTTCGCGCGAAGAAAATGTTCAGCGCATCCTCGACTGGCGATATAGTTACATTTTTTAGCTCTCGTGCACTCTCGTTGAGGCGGCGCTCGAATCCGTTAGCTCGCATCCGTGTGAGGTTCATCAGCAGAAGATGAGAGTTGACACCTAGAAAAAGGTAGCATGGCTGTTTAGCTGGTCAGGACAGGCGACTTACACGGCAACATCACAGTGACGTAGCGGAAACAATCTTGCAACTATTACCTGCGATCGAATTCGCTGGCGTGTTTGTTGTTTGGTCGTGTTCTGCAAACTATAAGTAAGTGCATTAGACCTGTGATGGACTAAAGTTGGATTCTGACGGAATACTGTTGATCTACCAGGGCAGTAAATATAATTACTGAGATGACGGATTAACGGTATCACATTCCACGCATGACCTTTGACAGTTAAAAGAGCCGGATACGCAAACAGTTTAGTCATTTGTGCTCATAATTATTCATCATTTTAATCTTAACCCTTCAAAAGCATGAGGAGCTTCCAGTGTTTCAATAAAACAGGAATACTTAAAGTTCACATTGTAATATTTCTAAACCATTGCTGCGTTGTTAGCAATGGTGTAACGCATACAATCGTATAGTAACACCTAACTTTATTTTCGCTCAAAAACGCGTTTATTTACGGGGCAGAGTTAAGGCAATTAGTTTAATATATTGCGACATTAAGGTTCGCAGCTGGCATAAATGCATGACGGTGCTTGTTTCTGGAGTATCACTGACCGATCTGTTAATTCGGTTCACTATTAGAGCCCCATGAACGTGTTTATGAAATCTGCCGCCAAAAACGTGTAGTAGCACCTAATTCGCCATAACGAGTTCTCAGATGGCTTCTTTGGATTTTGTCTGCACAGTGCGACGCAGCGTCGGATTATTATAGCGCCCACTCGCCGATTCGGAAAATTTTATAGTCCCCTTCTCGTTTGAACGAACGAGATTTCACTGCATGTAGGTACATAGCAAGCGCTCACGCAGAGTGCGCGCAGCACATGCAAATCATCGATAGGCGCTGACAATCGATCTGTCGCAGCGCACTGTGTGAGAATAAGCATTCAATACATTACAGATACAATAAACTAACAGTGGCGCAGCCATCCTGTTTCTTCTGTACGTGACAACCTTCAACGCTGACGTTTTCCTTCTCCTTTCTATCTCACGCGGCTTTCATCCAAACAGTTGTGCGCAACCTAGCGAGGGGCGCCATACAGTCTTATTTGTTTTTCAAAGACGAGAGTCTTTCATGGGGATCTTAGACGCAAAACTTTAGGTCTGTTTTTATATTGGTCTGTTTGTCCACCCTTAACGGTACCCCAAACGACACCAAAGTGATCAAAGGATTCTCCAAACGACCTAGACCATCCGCAGCGCCCACCAATATAGCTCAAAGTTCGGTGTTCATACTTATGCGATTGTCAATTAAAAACGATTGATTGATTAATATGTGGGGTTTAACGTCCCAAAACCACTATATGATTATGAAAGACAATTAAAAACGATGATTGCGCATATCTGAGGCAACATAACAACACGTCAAAATAATGTACGTGTATCTTTTACTAGAAAAGGCATACATAAGAAATTTTAAGGATCGTATCTTTTATAACGCTGCGCTGGTCTTGCAACGCTTGCACGAAACGGCAAGTGTTTGCAACGCTCTGCTAAGACGACACGGTGGTGACACCTACCCATCACCTTCCGTTCTACACTTTATCACCTCAGAGACAGGCGTGCATGGCGCGCACTCCGTTTTCCAGAATAACTGACAGATAGCGCTCATGTCTCACGTGTGACATGACTTGATGCGCTCGTTCGTCTCCGCTGCAGGCTGGAGGCACTCTAACGGAGTGCCTCCAGAATACCATTCACCAATTTTCTTGCACAAAACATCAAATAAACGGTTTGTTCACTCTCTCCAGACGCAAGACTATCGTCTTTCGACGGCATTTGCGCTGTAACATGCAGATACGGGGACGATTTTTTTCTTGCTTTTAGTCTGTGCCACAGTGATTTCGTTAATCAGCTAGAACACTATAGCGCTGCTACGGAAGTGTGTCTAACGGCATAAATATGGGAGGTGGGTATCCAGTTACACCGCAATATGATTGTGATTTATGGCGTACTACATATCATGCCACTGAAGCTAGGGTAGTTTCCCCAACAAAGTGCACCACAAGATTTCGAAAGGCCGTTTCTCCAATTTTTGTTGCGACAATGCGACGCGTTCCGCGCAGGCGTGTTGTTTCTTTTATTTTTTGTCTGATTTCGCTCAGTATAGTTACTAGGGGCAACGGCGGCAGTGGCAGCCGTCAAAATAATAACCTAAATCAGCTGTTGTGAGCTCCTAAGCACTCATGCTGTAGAACGCAAAAGACGTAACGAAAAAGAAATCATAAAGAGGGGGGCCACGACCAATCTTTACAACAGGAGCCAGTTCCGCAGTCTCCTTTAGTGCTACGTAAGATGCATGCCCTCAGGGGCACTTAAAGAAAAGAATGTGATCATCACGCGAACAATCTAGCAAAGGGGGAAATGGAAACCCTTGTATCTGCTGATGCAGTCACGCGCATATTCTCCTGCCCTTTTACAGATGATCTGCTGCGTGTGACAGAGGAAGTGGTCTGTCTGCTTCAGGCTTTACAATTACGCCCACGATTTGTCAGGGTTTGGCATAACAAAGCTGGTTCCCACTTTTCGTAGTTTGCTTACTCCCAATCATTCACTTCCTAACCTTGGACTTTCTCGTTCGCATCTTCCCTTAGTTTGTTTTCATTGAAGATTACTAAACTCAGCTCAGTTGGTGCTTTATGCATTTGAGCACAACAGTACGTATGTAGCCACTTCTCGTAATTCATGCTGTGCGATTGATGCTAGTGTGTGATTGAAAATACCAATAGTGTACAGCGAGCGTCATCTACTGGAAGCTACGTGTCACGTAATGACCTCTCAAATATAGTATTTTGTCGATGATAACTTACAGCACTGCTTAGTAATGGCGAAACTATCATGTAGCGCATGGTGAAACACGTGATCACCTAACTACTGAATGATCACTTTCAAATCTTACCGAATGGTTCAACGAATGGCTGTAGGGACGTCGACAGGTACAAGTTACGGTCGATGCTCTCCATCTCCGGTGCCATGCCAACCATTTCCTGGTCGGTCATCGAGTAGAACATTCGCCAGATGTCTTCGATGGGATGAACGAAAACCATCTCTGTGCTCACGTAAAGGAGGGCGTCCACGTCAGGTAGCAGACTCTGAAAATGTTAAAATTACCCAGTAAAAACGTACTTAAGCTTCCCTTGGATTACTGAAAGCCTATACAACAGCGGCATTCCGGTTTGCCGTATTTTAGAACACCGTACAGATCCGCGCGCCAGGTCCACGAAAGCTGTTAGCCCAACATTTCCATGAGCGTGATTGCATCAACTTTTGGGTTCTGTGATCTGGTTCAGTGCGCCAAATCAGCTCAATAAAAGACGATTGTTTATATGGAAGGTCTTTTTCAACTGGTTAGACTTGTCAGAGCTCAAGACCATAGACACACAGGCGTCTTAGCGATTCACGATGTTCTGAATCTATTATTCGTTATTTAGCTTGACCTATACGCACTGAAGCCCCTTTTAACATCTGTTCACAATAAACAATACACCAATCAGTTAATTTCATTCTTTTATTGCACCATAGTGAGAATAGGAACGACACTGCCTCCCCTCGCTACCCCACAACACGAGCTAACGCTGCTAGTGGGATACTGGCAACCTAACAGAACTATAGGGCAGGCATGCTCAATTTTGCAAGGCTATAGCTTTTTTTTTCTCTCGAATACTCTGCACCTAAATGTTTCTTTGCACATGCCTGAACTCTAAGTATGGTCCTGGATACTACGTTTTACAGAATTACATTATTGATGGCTGTTCAATAAGAGCTGCGGCCAAATGTCTGACTCTGGAAACATCGACGGTGACTCGGGATACACGGTATTGTATAACAAGAGCCTTAGTGTAACTAGCTACTATGCTTTGTGTTCTGATGTGTTTCAATTATTGGTGCGTTCAAGAGTAAGGGCGAAGAAATTAATGCGATATCAACAAACTGGAACGTTATGCAAAATAAGGATGGCAGTTACCTCGTTATCATTCCACCTCGCGAACCTCAACGAAATGCTACCTCGAGGAAACACGGCCGCTGCAGTGAACAAGGTGACCTTCCATCTGTTTGTGGCTCCAGAGCAAACACTGCGACGTTAAATCTATGAGCCTTATCTGATTCCCTCTAATGATACAGCTCGCGCGACTGCGGGCGACCACACCCGGCTGGTGGAAGCACGCATCACCTGCCGTGACCACGCAGTCTCCCCCCTCGCCTTCTGACACCCTTCACAAGCTTCTCGCGCGACCCAGACCACTGGCTCGTTCCACCACTCCTTAATCAGCGTTTGTTGGCAGCGCTTGCGCTATTACACTCGCAGAACGAACATAAGACGCGCGTGGCGATGTTTTCGATTCGAACTTTGCACGGAACATGGCGGCAACTGCGAAAATGGCTTTCGAGTGCCTATGTATACTGCTTTGATTCTGCTCGATTAGAGGACCTTACAAAAGAATACACACCCGAAATATACTGAAATCGCCAACACTACTTCGGAAGAAGAGAATTCGCACCCCCTTAGCTTCAGAGTAAAGAAAGCACAAGTGGTCACATTTATACAATTACGGACACACGCTTATTAGTCACCGGCACGGAGAAAACAATAATATAACATTTAAGATATGGATCCTGTTTGCAAGGCACGCGAGAGTGAAATATCCACGCTTGAGCTCATGCTCTGGGAGTGTGGGACAGTTGGCCCGGGCATTTCCCGAGAACGGTTTAGAACATTACAGGTATGATTAAACCACACGATGAAATCCCCTAAGTCCTGGCTCACCAGTACGCCCATGACAGGGCTAGGAGGCTTGACCTTTCGAATTAGCCAGGGAGGTGGCGACCCCACATACAGGATTTAAATAAAGTTCCTTTCATTTATTCATTAAAATAAAAACTACGCCTCTTTCTCAATCTATGTGTACTTAACGGCTGACGAGACCTTTCGATGGGCTCTGAAACGTCGAGATCATATCATTATATGTCTTCTGCTAGTTGAGCATCAAGCGTCGCGTTTATATCTAGGACACTCGAACAATAGAGGATAAAGAACTTGTTTATGACGATAAGAATTAGATTAATATGACAATTGCTCGCAGTCAGAGAACGCCGCAAGAGCTCGCAGTGACTTCATGGTTGATTGATGAATAATTAATTGATAAATGGGATTTAACGTGCCCAAACCACCGTATGATTATGTAGTGGAGGGCTCCGGAAACTTCGACCACCTGGGGTTCTTTAAAGTGCACCCAAGTCTGGGCACACGGGCCTACAGCACTTTCGCCTCCATCGGAAATGTGGCCGCCACAGCCGGGTTTCCATCCCGCGACCTGCGGATCAGCCGCCGAGTACCTTAGCCACTAGACCATCTCGGCGGGGCACGCTGGCTTCATATTCTCGGGGCTGTTGGAATATACTAGATATAAACACTGCTCAAAGGGGCAGTACTGAGAAACAATCACTTACTTCAGAGTGACAAACTGCACTTTGAGAATTTTGATGACATTTGTTCCGCTTTTACAAGTTCATTATTACCGAACAGAATAAAGGTTGAAGTTTCATTATTAAACTTCACGCCCAATTTTCTGCACGTGACGTGGAAACATTCAAGGTATATTCAGGACGATGGCTGGACGAAGTGTTCTGAAACTTCGTAAGCTAGGTCTACGATACCCACAAATAACAATGCACTTCAGTTTTGTGGATTTCAAAATGCGTAGAGCCCACTAGGTCCATTCACAATCTATAACGTCAGGGTGTTCGGTGCGGGAACCTCAAGGGGGCCTCTCTACCCACATTTTATTTTCGCGCGTTTTTTTTTTTTCGCATACCAAGCGTCGTGCCGCAGTGAGAGTAGCGTGTTTAGAATTGTAAAGCTTTACTTTACTTCACTGCGAAAAATAGTTTTGCTCTTTATTGCCCCTTTAACCCTTGATAAAGATTCGCACCGCAGAAAGACAAGAAAACGTGCTTTGAATGTGCAAAACGACTGGCCTGACCGATACGCTCAATCTGAACGAAATTCACTCGATTTTTCTCTTTCCTTATTGATATGTTTCTTTGCAAAACGTGTGTTTTTAACCAGGCGTAATTCTTGGTAAAACATTTTCTTAAGTAGGTTATGCCTTTTTGTCGAAAAGATGAAACAGCGCTCGAACGTTTCAGGCTCGTTCATAGCAACGTAATAAATTTAACTGCTACTTACAGGCAAGTACAGCTGCTGCGCTGCGCATTCTTGGAGCGCCAAGTCGGGGTTGATTGGTGGCGGCACAAGCTTCAGTTGTGCGTGGACTCGCTTCTTGATGCTCGATGGCCAAGATTCCACCTTGCAAGTAAGCGACGTAATTTAATACAGAAGCGCTGGTTGGCAATGCAGAATGTCCACGTCAACATAGACCATGCATATTGCACAAGGAAGCAATATTATTGCAACAGGTATGCAAGAGACAGTACTTAATGTCGCTAGGTCCCTTACACGAGCATGGAGAAGGCACAAACCATGTTAGGTGCCACCTAAAATCTAGAGGGAACTTTATTTTCCTCGGGCTATGGTTTACTCCAAATGCAATAAAAATACCTGAGGTTTAACGCCCCAAAACCACTACATAACTAGGAGGACCGCCATAGAGAACGCCTTCAAGGAACATCATCTGGGGTAATTTAACGTGCACTCAAATCGCATATTACACGGACATGTAGCAGTTTGCCTTCATCAAAATGCTACCGCGGCTGCCGGGGTCAAACCCACGACCTTCGGGTCGACAGCTGACCACTGTAGCGGCTACACCACCGCGGCGGGGTACTGAATTCTAAGCTAAAAATTCTTTCAAGGAGACAGGCTCCAAAAATTTTAACTCTGGTGCGAACGTATCTTTAGTGTTCAAAGTACCCTTGCCACTTTTCAGCTCAGATTTGAATGAGTTTTTATTACTCAGCCTAACTTCGTTCACACTCTCCGGACCAAAATATAAGAGGACGAGAAGGCATTTGCGCCCTTTCCCTCTTTTCCTACTTTTCCTCTTCGTCTTCTATTTGGTTCGGAGAGTTCGTAAGCAGCATACACACGCTCCCCAAAAAGACAGCCGCTGTCTTGCAGCAAATCGTTTATGGAAGCGTTGGCTCCAGCGGCACCCTGTGTTCGCCGATATCGCCATGGGGTCATGACATAGACGAAGGGAGCAGACTCGATGTTCAGATGAACCTTTATTCGGCGGCCGAAGTTGTGGTAACTGGGAAGTCAGATTACAGCGACAGCACTGGCACTGATAGCGGCGAACAGGGCGTCGGCCGTTGAGCAGCTGATATAGCGGCGAAGCGCGTCGGCATTATACATGCACCGTCGAACATTCCAGTTTTAGGTCAGTCGCGCAATATCTGGAATTAATCCCGAGTGTTCGCGTTTGCGCGAAATCTAACAGAGTGATGCACAATGATCGCGAACTTTTCCCAACTCGCCCTGAGTATTCCAGCCCGGCTTTATGCGCGAAAATCGAAACAAAAATAAAAATAAGAAACACGGGATGGCAATAATATTTGAATTCGTGCAGAACCACAAATTTTAGCATGCTGATGTACTTGGTCCTGTTGAATTTTATCCTGATACCTGGCCATAGCTCGGTTCAGTAATAAATTGAAATTTTAAAGTAACCGCAAACCTGATACCGGGTAGAGAGAGAGAGAAAATAAACGTTTATTTCGAAACAGCTGCTCGAGAGATGCACGGTATCACCCAAGGTGGGAGGGTACCTACAGTCCACCAACAATTTCGACTGCTCTCTTGGCCCTGGTGACGAGTTGTCGCTGGTCTTCCAGGTCCTCGAGGACGAGCTTGGCCCCTACGTTTTTTTTTTCTAATTTCCCTCAAAGACGTTTGACTCTGATGTCGATATCCTTGAGCCCGTTGTGCAAATTATGCGGTCCGCTAAGAGGCTGATTAAATGCTTTGCATAGAGGTTTTGATTTATTCAGTCTTATAGTGGAACTGTGTTGCGTCCGCCACGGAAGGACGGCCTCTCCCATTGATCTCCAATTTGCCCTATATAATAAACGAGCTGATTCTATTTTTTCCTGCGAACTTCTAATTAGGGTGTACTCACCTAACCGCCTCATTTTTATTCTCTTGGTGCTTACTCCATTGTCCTGACCGTCTTGGTGTTGTCCTATATATGTCGCACATAACAGCAGTCACACAAGGCATAGTTTGAGATGCTCGTCTCAAACATGCTCGTCTGAACAGATCACATCAAAGAGGATGAGCATGAAAAATTCAATTCCTCAAGGTGCGATCATAAAAAAGCACAATCGCCGTACAAACAGTGAATTGGTATTGACTACGACGAACTGCATACGAAAAAAAAGTATAATGTCTCAGCGAGCTGTCACGTATATAGAAAATTTGGAACAAAAACTGCAGTGAAAGTTAAGCGAGTCGGTTATTTCCAGCCAATTAGGTGCGCAACTATAAACCAGCAAGGTAACCACGCAAGCCATCCTTCGTAGCATCCGTGTCTGTTGTTGCGCACATGAGAATACGCAAAATTCACGCAGGTTTAGCGAATTCAGCTTTCATTGAACACGTGTTGCAAATGCATGTGCTTCTGGAGGCGGACTACTTACCGCTACTTTACTTGTCTTACTCGCGACCCACTACATCTTGATGCAGGTGAAGTGGCAGTGCTGAAAATGGTACGCCCTCGTTGCAGCCAAAAACGAGTGAAAACGAACAACCAGGCAACAAAACACCACACTATGTGTCGTCACTTTTCTTTTTTGCCGAACGTGTTTAGAACACAAGAAATAAACCGCTATCGCATATGACATACATACATACGGTGCTTAACAGGAAGTACAATTTGTTTAGTGCAATTTTTGCGGAAAATACCGACACAGCAGCAAATAAAAACATTTAGTAGGATACACTGCAATGCGGCGGATACAAATTCTCTTCATGCGTCAGAGGGTTCGTCAAGATGCCCAATAGGGCAAGGAACACATATCGAATATTTACACTTATCGGTGCGCCACGTGCCGTTCCACAAGGTGTATTCCTCGACTTACCAGTTTCTTCATATCCACCTCGCTCTCCTTGTCAGCAAGGATAATGAGATGTAGCGGCGACGTTGAGTAAGCGATCACGGACTTGATAGCGACCACTGCAAGGTCAGCCTGCATCCCGCAGACGACAAACGCCACCGTAATAGTTTCGCTGCAATGAAATATACGAGCATATGCCAAAGGTTGTTAGTGTTAGGTGGGCTGCACATGAGAATAGGAAGTTTGCGGGTATAAAAATGGCAGTAGCGAGCACGGGACCAAGTTATGAAGAAATATACTATATAAATAGTGGCCACTGGAGCTTTTTTGTGGCTCAGCCAGAAGGGGTCTGACCGACCGCTAGATGGCGTAACCATCCTTGCTTTTACTCCTTTGTTAAGACATGTAATAGCCTCTTCAAAAGGACATTAAATACCCAAGTTTAGCATCAATTTTTTGCAAAAAAAAAGAAATTCTATTATTTGTGCAATTTTTCTTATCCGCTCTACATCATGTCCCGCTGAGGACATTTAATGCCTTACAAAAAAACAGTAAAGTTTGACTGGAAGGCGTTGTCTTTCTGCATTTGTTTTGCACAGAGGCACATTCACGTGGTTTTGATGTGCTCTACATGTATTCCCTTTGTCGAAGCATGGGTGTGTAGCCTAGTGGTAAAGACACTCGCATTCACAGCACAAGGGTACGAGCTCAAATCCCAGCATCGGAAAGGAAACTTTGTTACTTTATTTATGCTGACGACATTATCGGGTCTGACCAGCCATTCATGGCGCTGAAAGCAGAACAGTAGCTGGGCCGCAGGGCCTCGCGGGAGTGTCCACCTTTTTGTGGAGGTATGTTTCTCTATGACCGAGTTGCCCGGCGGAACATAGAAGAGGCCTTGGTACTGTAGTGGGCGTAGTCAGGCTGATGATGATGATAATCCCATCGCGTCTGCAAGGGTGTGCAAGGACATTTGCCCCTGTCATGCCCCGCATGCATGCTTGCCTCCACATGTAAAGCCACGCATGTATACTTGCATCCACATAAGTCAGACGTTGCGCCGTGCTCCCTAATGAGCTGTATAAAGTCGCCGTCTCATTCTACCTCCAAAAACCACCAACAACAACTCCACATCAGCTACACCAACGCAAGGACTCTCCCCTATGGAGCGATATGAGACGTATTCGCATCACCCAAAACGAAATATTGCCGACACTCATGCGTCAAAGTGAATACATTATACGATGCGGCTTTAAACTCCTATATTGACAAGATGCGATACCAACGCATATGTCTTAGCAAAATGCTAATGATTACCACGACAAGGGTTAGCTGTGCAAAATGAACGGCTCTACCATTTTGTTTGATTTCCGGATCTTCATATTTTGCGGAACGCGCGTTTGTGCCTGACGCACGTTGACAGTCAGACGAGATCACTAACAGCAAACGTCACAGAGTTTTTCTCATTTATTTCACGTAAGAGATATTTATACTATTTATACATCTTAAGGAAAACCGCATTTCTCGAGTAGTGTTTTAAGTACTGGGCGATTCTGAACAAATTTTAATGTAGTATGTCGACCAAAGCAGGCTGGCATATTCTACTCAGGCTCGTTTGTGACGCATTACGAAGTTTATAACTTTAAAAATTTACTGAGAGCAAATGCTTTAACGTCATTGTAAACAAAAGTTTCAAACGAAGTCGGCTTTTTCAAACGGAAGACCTTCATGCATGTACATCGGAGAGTGAGCGGTGTGATTAACAGGGCGCTAGGCAGAGCGAGCAGAAACTGCAGCTTGTCATCGCACGCTTTCTTCCACCATTCCTTGCGGCACTCGTCATGCGTGGTCATCGTTCGCTTCTCAACTCCATTCTGTAACACAGTGTCCGCCGCAAAACAAAAGAACCCGGCTGTTTTGAGAAAAGGTAGCCATACGCTAGCGGTCATTTTTGTCGACTGTCAAAATGTAGTTAAAATGATTTATTAATTGCAATAATGCCGGTCCCTACTGAGATCATTAAAATTATTTTTTATGGGACGAAAGCATGCTCGTTGCGCGCCAATGTAATGAATGATCTTCTCACTTATGCCACAATCTGAAAAAAAAAAAGCTTTTGCCGAGCGGTAGACAGTCCCTATAAAAGATGAATCCAGATATGGACAAGATGCGGTACCAACGCATATTCCCTAGCAAAATGCTAATAATTACCACGACAGGGGTTGGCTGTGTAAAACGAACGGCTCTACGATTTAGTTTGATTATGCTTCTGGAGCTCCATATTTTGCGGACCGCGCGTTTATGCCTAACGCACGGTGACGGTAAGGCGAGATCACTAACAGCAAACTTCATAGAGTTTTAAATGCGAAGCACTTCTTAGCGAACTTCGGCGACTTTGAGTACATCTATCTATATATCTGCCTATGTAGCCGCTTACGTTTGTATGCTCTCGTGGTCACCCCCTTCACTTGGCATGAACCAAAATTAGCATGGGAGGGTAAGATGGTTTGACGAATATGGTGCGCTGATCAAGACATGAATGATGTCACAATCCCGTCACGTACGTCGTTCAGCGCTTTCCGCCAGACAGTGGCACACACTTGCGGGTGGGATGCGCCGCTGATAAGCTGGTATGTGCCACAGGTGATTGACATTTAGTATCTACCCTGGAACGAGGGGAACACAGATGGACAATTTTAACGCGTGAGCGTTAAGCAATACTCGACATCGGTAGCATCGCCCCAACGAAGGCATAGAATAAATGCCAGCGTTAATAAAAACCTGAAATAGGCAGGGTTGGCCCCCAACGAATGCAAATAATAAATTTCAAGGTCCCAGCAGGATTCGAACCCAAGTATTCTGCGTGGCAGTCAAGCATTCTACCACCAAGCTACGCCAGGTCTCGGAACTACTTTTCAAATAGGCGATAATCTTCGTAAAACGTCAATAGTGGTCGCAGTGCTGCCTACCCAATTTTATGAACATTACATATGTACTTTCATACAGCCGTCACGTCGGGTTAGCGTGAATTGTGGTGAGGTGCCATGCACTGAAATTGATTTACGTAGCAGTGTCGAGGGCCAGCATCTTCGGGAGCATCAGCGCTTCATATCAACTTCTGGTGTTGCTAAAGCACATTTCCAGCTGACATCGTTGTGCAAATCGAAAGCTGGTTATATAAACATCTGCAACTCTTCAACACACATGTTCTCTTCAACATATGTCTCTGCGTGCAACTTTTCTACATATATTTAGCGTCATTTCATGACGTGTCACTACGTAAAAAAATGCAACACAGTCGCCTTCCCTCCGCGTGCTTCGCATAAAGATTATTCCCAGGCACGTGGGGTCTGCCGATTTTTTGCTTTTCTTTTTTGTATAAGAGATATTTATACACCTCAAAGAAATCCGCATTTCTCCACTAATGTTTTAATAACTTGGCAGTTCTGAACAGACCTTAATGTAGTATGCCGACCAAAGTAGGCTGGCTTATTCTAGGCTTATTCTACTCAGGCTCGTTTATGACGTCTTACGAAGTTTATAACTTTAAAAAATACACAGAGAAAATGTTTTCACGTCAGTGTAAACAAAAACTTCAAGCGAAGTCGGCTTTTTCAAACGGAAAAAGGCTTTTTCGCATGTACATCAGAGCCTGAACGGTGTGATTAGCAGGGCGCAAGACAGATCGAGTAGAAACTACCATCTGTCATCGCGCGCTTTCTCCCATCATTCCTTGCGGCGGCCGTCATGCGTGGTCACCGTTCTCTTCTCAGGTCCATTCTGTAACACAGTGTCCACCGCAAAAAAAACAAAACGGCGGTTTGGAGAGAAGCTAGCCATACGCTAGCGGTGATATTTCTCGACTTTCAATAAGCAGTTAAAATGATTTATTATTTGCAATACTGCTAGTCTCTACTGAGATCATTAAAATTCATTTTTATGGGACAAAACCATGCTTGTTGCCGCCAATGTAATGAATGATGTTCTAACTTGTGCCACAATCTGAAAAAAAAAAAAGCTTTTGCCGAGCGGTAAACAGTCCCTATAAAAAATGAATCCCCTAAGTTCTCGCTTCCATTCGCTCTACTATGCATGCGAAACAGAGACTCGTGGCTCGTCGGCTATAAAGGTGACGCACGGTGACGCACAGTGCAGCGTCAGCTTCTGTAAATCGTGGCTTTTTCGATGGGCGACCTTACCCTTTTTCTACCTCATCATCTACAGCGGTCAAGAACCGCCCTTTCTTTTCAAAAAGGTCGCATTCACATTTAAGGGGCGAAGCCGGGTTTCAGCGTGTCGGCGTGCTCGTTTTCTGCTGCTTGACGCTGCTGTCGGCAGCTGTCTCAAAGGCGCTGCCGTCGGCGCTCAAAAGAGGACACGACCATCTTAGCGCTCACCGCGAGAGCAAACGTAACGTCTTTCTGCGACGAACGCTGGCCTTTCTCCCTCGTAAGACGAGAGTGCAAAGCAGTGGATCTTGACCTGCAATGTAGTGTCGGTGGGAGATTTCTAATGTGTGCAGTTGGACAACAGAAAGAAGAAAAAAAAATCTCAGCGTGTGCGTTAGCAAAGTGAACTGCGGTTGTGTCTGGTGGCTCCGATTAGATCCGTGAACAGTGCATTATTCGCCCGCCTTAGTAAAGTCCCTAGACTTTCCCTTCTTTTGTCTTAAATACCGGAATTCATTGAAGCGCCGCCAACGAATTTCATTGGCTGTACTTTCAGTCATGTACATTCTAATACAAATCCAGCGGCTGGCGAAACGCCTACACCGCTTACTAATGACGGTGGATTGGTCTCCATTCCCCGTGCGGTGTTGTTGAGGTGACCTGCAAAGTGAGAGGCAGCTACGACGCCGCACTTATTTCTTCACTTTTCTTCCTACAAAACCTCTCCGATTGGTGGAAGGAGAAAGTCGAGTTCCGTTAGCATATCGTCCTTTGAAAGATGCGCGGCCGATGCACTTAGACGCACGTGGATTGGTAAATATTCCAGGGAGGATTGTATATCTTCAAGCCACTATAGTCATAGTGGCTAGAAATGTTTCCCTAGTGCCGTGAATGATTATTGATAGACAATAAATATGTGAAGTTTAACGTCCCAAAACCACCATATGATTATGAGATATGCCGTAGTGGAGGGCTCTGGAAATTTTGACCACCTGCGGTTCTTTAACATGCCCCCAATTCTGAGCACACGGGCCTACACCATTCCCGCCTTCATCGACAATGCAGCCGCCGAAGCCGGGATTTAATCCCGCGACCTGCGGGTCAGCAGCCGAGTACCTAAGCCACTAGACCACAGCGGCGGGGCCTACCCCTGTATTCACAAACGCTCCTCGACTCAAATTTCGTCCTTCACTTGACTAAGCAAAGCACTGCGCCGCTGCTCGACTGAAATTCACGCTGCACTTTTCAAGAATCGCTTTATATTATCGCCGATATGCAATAACTTGGTCTGCCAACAGACGGCATTCGCTTCGACCTTTTCAAGTCAAGGTGAAGCGTTGAGTGAAGGGGCGTTCTAGAACACGGCGGCTAGTGTCGTGAACGAGGCGGTGAGGCTGAAGGAGTTTACGATAGCACCTCCAGAGGGCACAGCCGCTCGTTGGCGCTTGTTCGCGCGTCAGCCCGCGCCCTGACGAGTTCGCCACAGATGGTGGCCATAAATTTTAAACGCGAAAAAAAAAAGAGATCTGGGGACCAGTCTTAAGAACGCCGATAGTTATAGCACGAGAACAAAACGACGACAAAGAGACAAGAAGGACACGAAGGACACGAGCGCTATACATGTCATACCAACTAGCCCAAGCTGCCACGCTTCAGAACGCCACGTGCACACATCCGTCAACCTCCCCTCCCCAACGTGCCAGCGACGGACAGCGCCGTCGTCTCGTGCGATGCACTGAATCCGGTTTCTCCGCCGCTGGAGAAAGCGCGCGTTCACGACACTACGAAAACCATCGAAAACTATGGCGCTCACACTCTGGCGCGTTCCGATCTATAAAGAGAGAGGGAGGTTCAGGAATGGAAAAGACGCAACTTCTGCAGCCCTAACAGGGAGCACGGCTCAGCGCCTCCGACATATTCAGGAGCTGGGGTAACCTTACGCTCCCTCAGCTATCGTATGATAGCGCCAAGGAACGAAATACTCCTGAGGCACGCTAACGCGTCGTATCCTAGACAGAACGCGCTGGCACGCGATAGCGCATTCGGACCCGCGTAAGTGTCTGTGTAAGAGGCTGTGGCCTCTCTCCCTTGCGCTTTCTCAGCAATCACCTGATGGCGTCGGGGAACAATGTCCTGCAGACAAGCGGTGAGGGCACGTGCTCCCGTGTGGCATGGCAATGAACCCGCTTGACGTGCTACAACAAGAGTTCGGGACGAGTAACAGCAACATTTGAATTCATGGTGTGCTCCAAATGCAGAGCTGCGTTAACATCGGACAAGGTGCCCGCCATGAAGGGAAATTTAATTCCACACATGCGCTGCTTCGCATGCTATGCTCATGGTTCCATTTAGTAGAGATGGCGTAACTTTTTTTTCTTCCAAAGTGCAGTGCAGCTTGCTTTTAGTGTGATCGAGAGTGAGTACGCAAGCACGTCATGGGATCCAAAGTAACTATGCAGCTCATTTTGCTCAAATCAGCCAATGATCGCGGACCTCAGCTTTATGGCATCACTTGTCGAGAGAATACACAGAGCGATTTCTAGCCGACTCTGAGAATTGTTTGTTAGGCCGCGTACTGCGTTGTATAGTGCTCGGTTCATGTTGTCTGGAGCCTCAACTACCGAACGGAAGCGTATTTTTTTTGTGTGTGTGTGTAAAGGGTGTTCTACATTTTTTTCCAAATCCTTGCCAGACCACCGCGCTTAATGTTTGCAAATATTCTCAGCGTACAGCAGCCTAGATACCATGTTTGCTATGCTTAGCTTATGATCTTCAAACTGGAACGGACCACTTTGTTGGTGGGCTGTGTATACGCGTATTTGAAGAGCTTCCGAAAATACATTTTATGCGTTCGCGGTGCCCTCCCAAAAGAGTACGTCAGTCACCCATAACTTATAGTTGAAAGAACATGTGCCATGTAGGAAAAATCTGGTCTAACTTGGAAAAAAAAATAAAGAGACGATCGCCACGTAGGGGTGTTACACATTAAACGCTTAGAAAGTTTTCGTTGGGTTAGGATAATCACCGGCACGATAAAAATGAGCAAACGAGCTCCTCATTACGAATGACGGGTGCCGAGTGTCATGTCTTGAACATTCATTGTTTCACAGTTGCCATGGCTTATACGACCCTGTTAGTAACTGTTTCTTTCAGGGGAGAAGTCTTTGTTCTGCAGTGGAAACAATATAGCTAGCGTCTACAGTTGTTCTAGCTACTGCAGGAAAGTACAGGTAAGTTGCTGGTTGTCAAGTATGCTATGATGCTCTTCCGGCATGTAATAGAGTTGAACCTTGTCTTCTGCGATACATGTTGCAGCACTGGGCTTACCTTTTACTGCCTGAAGTCCAATGTGCTGTGTACAGCTCTCACTTGAGCTCTCGCAGCGACACCAAGTCTTTCTTGGCGGTACTTCTGGCCGATGAGAATACGCAACATTGGTGCATACGTAATGAACAACGATCCTACAGCAACGCCAACGAAACAGGCAAACTATTGTCTTCAGCGATATTCGAGACTTCATTAGTTTCTGTATAAAGGCAAAAATACTGCTTACAAAGACTGACTCTATCTTGTAACGTGCAATGAATGAGTTTTGCTTCGTAGCAGAAAAGTTCATACCACTCGCTTCTCTCAAAATGATCGATAGTGTTAGGAATTCTTCATATTAGTCGTGCTTTTGAGTTCACAGCGGTAATGCATAGCGATCCACCCTTTGCATCCATCGGAATTCGTCGTGCGCCAGGCAGTCGCCCGATCGAATTTTCAGTAACGCAGGTTGCTGAACGTCATTGTGATGACATTTAAAAGGTCTATTCTCGCCGTTCCTGGTTCACTACTTGCCATTTTTGCTGCATTATAAGCAATTTCACTGGTTCCTCTGAAGCATTTAGCAACGATAAATGATGACATCGCTCACACGGGCTTGGTTTCGCGTAAACTGTGCATGACGTGATAACTCGGAAAAGACTGCTTCTGTTGTACGGCGAGAGTTTACGCTTCTTCACTGCACCGTCGTTTCAAGCAACGATCACTAAGTGAAAGTAAACGTTTGGCCTATAAGCCTTGGAAAATTTGGCGGCGATGGCAGCCACCAACCACAACAATGGAACTGTGCTAGGTTGAACACTTGAAGACGCCAGCCATGCATCGCCGCGATACCCTAACTATCGAAAGTTGCATAACTATTGTAACTTACAACTGAAGAGTAAATACAATCTCAGCCCACAACAATGTCTGTCCCACTGCGAGAAAAGTAGCATATATTGCGTACAATCAGCTGCGGTGATTATCGAGACATCAAGCACTTTCGAGTGTTGCAGATGACTGGTGTTCACTTCGCTAATTTGAAGTAGTGGCTACTTTTATCAGATATTGTAATACCACTGCTTCGTCAAAATATTTTAGGTGGGAACGACCAGCCTTTATTTTGCGACATGCAAAATACGTGACTACGAAGAGGTGCTTCCCTTGCGAAAGGAAGTCAGCTTATGTGACTCCCTTAGGCGGGATATTGATAAGAGAGACGCCGTAACGAACGTACAGCTCCAGCCCGTCACAGTGGTTTATTAGTTACGTAGGCTTGACAGCTGACCCACAGGTAGCGGAATTCAGCCGCGGTGGTCGCATTTTTGATGGAGGCGAAAATGCTTGAGTTCCGTGTATTTAGATTTAGGTAGACGTTACAGAACCTCAGGTAGTGTGCCTGAGTTCAATCGGGGAAGTGGGCCAGCCGCCAATGTTTCGGCGAACTCCTGGCTCCTACACCAATGCCATACTCTACGGTTCCGGTGAACAAGTCGGCAAGCTCAGGAAAGCTTGACCACCCTGCAGGTCCATCTTGAACAGTTCAGAGTAGTGTCGTAAAGGCCTCACCACGATCGGTCAACAACATACCAGCGCCGGAGGACGTGCTTAAGTGGGTGGACACTGTGCACCTCGCCCCAAGCGCCAAAGAGAGGGCACAACGCAATGGGCTGATGCCTCATTCAAGACCGTGCCGGTCTCTTGTTAGAAGTTTTGCCCCAGCCGACCTTTCAGTGCTGGGAGGCTTTAGAGGGACCAACAGTTTCCACAATATAAGAGGAGTGAGATCACTCCTCGGATGAAAAGATTGTCCGTCACACTGACGTGAGCTAACCCTGCTTTTTTTGTAAAAGGTGCATCATTTTTATTCCTTCATTGAAGTTTAAAAAAGAAAGGTCACAGCTTTGCCGCAGAGGCACAGCAATGAACGCGATAGCAACAAATTGGAAGGTCACGCCTAGAATCGCAAGCAGACGGATGTGGTTTACCTATAAAAACCACAAAACAGTGAAATGTCTGTGGCATTGCTCCTCAAGGGAACATATACAACGTTCATGTCACGTGGCGGGCGTGACCACATGATTGGCAAAGCAATAACGGAAGGAAGTCTTCGACAATCTATAGTTCTAGCCGACAGGGGCTTCAAAATATCAGACTCTGTGGAAATACGTTCCGCTAGGTTAATGACGCCTGCATTTACAGAAGGCAAACCGCAGCTTTTGGCTTTCCAAGTTGAAAGAACACGCAGGGTGGCCAATGTACGTATACATGTCGAAAGGGTTATTGGGCTGCTTCGGAACAAGTTTCGCATACTGAAGCATACTTTACCAGTTGAAGCGCTCACTGTTGATAAAAACAGACCAACAGAACTTGACGAAATAGCAGTTGTATGAGCAACGCTAGCCAATCTCTGTGATTCTCTGGTACCTTTTGGTTAACTGGCCAAAGCCTTGACATGTGCTGGACCACCTTTCACTTCCCGTTCTGTTGTCTGAATGTTTTCCTATCAACCTTATTCTTTTTTTTGGTTCACTTTTTCTACCGTTTCGTTCATGTTGCTGTCATGTGAGTTATTTATATGTTGTGTATAACCCATCACCCGAAATAAAGGTCCCTGCTTTCCTTTTCTCTGCACTTCGAGCTACTCAATTTTACCATATGTCGAAGACGTGGAACTTCAACTGCTTGTACTCTGAACCCGTTCTGTGTGACTTTAATGGCTTTCTATAGGTCCTGCAATAAAACTACTGCTATTAAGACCGATATCAAAAAACGTCTTCAACTACAATCTCACAGTAGTGCGAAACAAATTATATTTTACTTTTGCAGAGCTTTCATAAAAAGGTGAAATGCTTCTGACATGAATGAAAACTTTGCAAATTTTATTGCAGCTGCATTCAGTCACACCTTATTAAGCAACTTTTCGCATTCTACACAATACGACTCATTTGCTCGTGGAGCCCACTGCGAGGCCACACGCTCAAAAAGAAGCCATTTGAACTTGCATGAGCCACTGTCACACCTAACCATTTTGCCTAATCCTGGCTTTTGGCACATGCGATACAGGAAGGCACTAGATATTTTAGTGTCCTGAACCTCTTCCTCTTATGCGTCAACATTGACTTCCTTCGTCCAATAATTAAAAAAAATTCAGGAAGCTCAACACGCTCGAAGGACCTGACAGCGCTCTTTCATTGATTTACACATGTTGGGTTTTCGTACACTCAGTGTGGGAAATTTTTTCGTGCTCCAACGACTGCAGTGACTTTTGTGCGCCCGGTAACTACAACAGAATCGTTCCGGCAAAATTCAAACCAAGACATACGATTCTCCCCACTGCAAGATAAGGGCACGCGATTTAGCGAACACCCTTTTATTTTCTACGCGGGTCAAAGCACGCGTGAGAGATGAAAGCAACCGCACTCTCACTGCGCAAACTTGCTGACAATGCTAAAAAGACAATAGCCCCCCCCCCCCATAGATGCCCGCCAACAGCGGTAAGTGGTAGATATGAATAGCCCGCGTTTAAACGTTGATGGAGGTACCTCTCAGTGGCTCAGTGGTTAACGCCTCGCATTCACGACGCGGAAATCTCCCGTTCGATTCCGTGCACCAGAGCCCTTTTTTTCTGAGATTGTTTTCTTTCTTGCGTTTTCATATTGTTAGATACATATACATATACGGTGCATGACACCGACGTCAACGTCAACGCCGACGGCGAAATCCAGACGATGGTGCCCTTAATAATGCTATCGCAATATAATAACCTGTGGCGCCTCTCGTGACAAAAACATATACGATGTACCTAGCCACGTGACCACTGATTGCTGTACGCGGTCGACGATATTTTAAGGTGTTGAAATACTCTTCGTTTCTTTATAATAAAGAAACTAATCCATAAAAAGGTACATATAGGCCTGCTTTAGTAGTAAAGGAGGGTTGCACAAGGGCATAGCCCACGAGATGGCACCAGCGTCGAAGAGGCAGTGCATACATCTTTGTGGTTTCAATCGCCCGCCTCTCCCAGCCGCTGCCGGCAAGCGGTCGCAGAACGTACATTCATGGATGAGCGTCTGTGCGAGATTGCCGTTGTCATAATGGTGAACTGTACCGTCTTTGGTTGCTACAACCACTCGAGTACGCCTGGTGGTGACAATGCGTCAGATGTCGGCTTTCTTTTTCATACCTAAAGTGATTGCAAACCAATGCAAGCACACAAAAGACGCTATTCAGCGGCGAAGACCTGAGTGGCTCCGAGGCGTCAACCGAAAAGGTTTGGATGACTCCATCATATACTACGATTGATTTGATTGATTTGTGGGGTTTAACGTCCCAAAACCACCATTTAATTATGAGAGACGCCGTAGTGGAGGGCTCCGAAAATTTTGACCACCTGGGGTTCTTTAACGTGCACCCAAATCTGAGCACACGGGCCTACAACATTTCCGCCTCCATCGGAAATGCAGCCGCCGCAGCCGGGAATTGAACCCACGACCTGCGGGTCAGCAACCGAGTACCTTAGCCACTAGACCACTGCGGCGGGGCATCACCATACACTACCGCGTGAGCGGTGAACATTTCCTTTTCTGTATGTGTTCAAAACCTAAGCAACATCATAAAGGTTTGCTTTTGTGGTGAAAAACTGAAGTTTTCGCGAAGTGTTATGAAGCTCTATTTACGCAGCAGGAGGCGAACGCACGCACTACGCCACAATCGCTGCTTACGAAGCAGTCAGTTAATCACATCAGCAGTAAACGTTGCTTGACAACTGCACGCTTGAATAGCTCTGCATATGACTGTCACTTTCATGGCAAGTACTTTGTTCGTGTCTTGTCTGCAGAACATTAGCATCTTTTAAAGCAGAGGTATCATTCAGGTAGATGCGGTGTATTACTGATTTCAGTGTGCTACTAAACAGTCAGCAATGCAGCGCTTCCGTTTACCCATGCTTTAACGCCACTCGTTTTCTTTCGCAGGACGTCCGTCTTACGCAATGGTTGAAGCCGTTCCGGACTGGGCACCATCTCTTCGTTTTGGGCATGGCAAGCCAAAAACAGTAACAGTTCAGCGCCCCGGTAGGATTGCTAAAGCAGTCTGATTTGTGTGTGTGTGCAGGCGGTAGGTAATGACCGAATTCCACTCTTTACAGACACACAAGGCATTTGAAAAGAAAAGAAGCACAATCCGTTCCGCCCCTTAAGGTCTCCTCACATGATGACAGCA